GATTAGCTTAACGATGATTTAATACAAATCATTCATCTTACATAAAAATGTGTGTTGAATATAGATATATGATGTATATATATATTTCTTGAAGTTTTTGTGACTTATCAAGATAATTAGGTGCAACACTCCATTGATTTGGATACCATAGGAGTGCCATGGTGGACATTGCAAGTATGCAAGTTGAAGAAAGAAGGAGACAAAAAGGAAAAGATAAAAGAATCTGGTACTATTGTATAGGCTGCAGCAGATCAGTTTTGATTTTTCAATGTCTTTTAAGAAGATTCTGCTGGGTGGGGGCAAAATTTAAGTTGCCATATAGGATCAATCAGTGGAAGAAAGCAGCCTGATTCATTGCCTTTGAACAAGAAGGAGAAAAAAGATATAGAAAACCATACTGTAACTAAAATACAGTTTGGAAATTAAAAATTGTCAGACAAGAATGAAAACTATTTCTAAATTTTCATTCTTGTAAAACTTTTCATGTAAATTTTGGAACAACATTGCATTTCATCTAGCTGACAAAGCTTTCAAGAATAAAACCTTGATAACAAGAACAATAATGGCAGTATGAACCAAAGTAACCTCCCAGATATGGCCGGACTGTATAGGGCATTAGTGACATATTGATTGGTTTCAAGGGCGATAGTCCCAACACAGGCACCATTTATCTGGTGTGCTGGTTAATCTGCCAGATTCCTCAGCAGTTTATCTCACTCAATTATGTCCTGTTTACATTAGTACGTTAATTGCCATACTGTACGTTGTCAACCTCACTAAAACAGATCTTATGGTCCATTTCAGGTTTACTTTCTCCTGGCATGTGTTCACCCTTTTATTCTGTTCAACTTGGTTGACTGGAGAGAAATATCTCAAATTCCTTTGCAGTATTGTTAATAGTGAATTTAGTCTGTGATTTTGACAATAACATGTTTACCAGTATAGGCTTTTGTTGTTGTTGATTTTGACAATTATAATTGTAGAGAATAACCCCTAAAGCTATAATTAAACTCAAGGGAAATTTCGGCTCTATATTTATATTCATCCATTACCAAGTTTTTTTTATCAACAATAACAGGTGCATTACATATATAGACCACATTTAACAATTGATCATGTATATATATCATGTGGTCTAACAATGACATTAAAAGTGAGGTGCAAAGGTCACAAAGGTCACCAATCATATGTTTCATCCGTATAATATCTATGATTTGTTTACATAGTTGTTGTAACATGCATGGAAATAAACAACCTTTAACAAGCCTATAATTCATTTCAATTGCTACCTATGCTGTTGGAAATGTCAAACCTGTTGAGCTTTGCACTAAGTACATATTTCATCGATGGTAAACACAAACGGTAGCTCTCACGTTTAACGGAATGTGATGGGTCCGGGAGTTATCTTGAGTTGATAGTGATGCAATAGTTTTGGCAGAGAAGGATGAACCTCCACAGACAAAAGACTTAACTTATCAATCTGACAAAGATTTGTGTCTCTATAGCAGACAGCAAGGGTCTTCTTAATGCCTTTGTACCTATAAATATTATAATATCTTATGATATTCATGAATGAAATTCCTCTTAAAGCAAACTGCAAGGGTAAAACGTAAAATCTTGTAGTGTCTACAAGCTCACAGCATGAAACACTACAGTGTACACAAACAATTTATTTTTTATGCAATGTCTGACAGATTGGTTTACACCGGATGGTGCACTGTCCAAACGGCACTGCAATTTATACGCAATCAAGTCATTGAGAGAATGCTTGTGAGTGTTGTATTACACAGGGACCACACAAGGAACACTAATTTGTATCGTACATCAATGTGCATCATGTTCATGTATATATATATATACCAGCCCGGTATATGTATTTGGGTCACTTTACCCAAGGTCTTTAGGTCAATCCATCCTAATTATATAAATAGTGCTATTATGTTTCTGGTTTAACAGATTAATTCCAATACTTTATGGGAAAAAACATTGTATATACTTCAGTTATCATAATTACACTAACTTTACAAGTAAAGATATTAACCTTCCTGTGGTAAGATAGAATTATTTCATCAAGCCAGACCAGGATTCAAACCTGTAACTTCCAAACCCGGGCTAGATGGACACATAATGTATTACCAGTTCAGCTATCCGTTCCTGAATGAAAGATCATTGCAGTACAGACCTCTTACCTTATTCCTCCATTTTTCCCTCAAAGAAATCACTATTTACAACCCCGGGGTTCGGATATCCCCTTGACAAATGCACACATTTCTTGTAAAGGGTCTGTCACATGTACCAATTTATAACTGGATGCAGGCAATACAGTTGACCAGACTGGGATTTGAACTCAGAACCTCAAAACTATAGACAGACACCTCTAGCTTTTAACCCACTGAACCATCTGACCACTAGCATTGGACTAATTGGTCCAGAGTCACTATATTTGTAGTATTTCAGAAATCAGTATTTTCATCATAGCGATATCTGAACGAAAAAGCAATTTTCATTTCCACAGAATTCTACTCAAAGCATGTTTATTTTACTGTTGATACAGGTACATGTAGGTATTCGGGCAAAGTGACCCATGGAACAGACAGGTTTATGTGTCAATTAGAGACACTATTGGTGGGTACATGGGATTCATCATATACAAACTAGAATGTATGTTTGTGTGTGAAAATTGAGGTAATTTATATCGCCAACTCATCTTAGAGTATTGGTCCCCATTTCAGTCCCTAGCTATTATACTTAAGTTTCAAATGTAATCTCACTTAAGTTCCGTAATCGCTCTAAACATCCGACCACTCAGTTGTTCCCACGTAGTAAGGATGTACCCTATTGTTTATCTTCCTTCACATGCGTCAACTCTCATCTGCCAAACCTACTCAGACTGTGGTAAACAAAATCAAGTAGTTTTCAGATTTTCTATCCGTAATCACCACAATTGTATTCATGCCTCGGATGTGGTCATCAAGTACAGTATCAATCACTGGCTATTTCATTTTTTTCACATTGAATGAAGAATATACTAGTAGGATGCTGTGGTTGTGAATAGTTAGATAAAATGGTAGTGACAACTGAGGGAATAAACCGTGATTGTGGTGTATATAACGCTTACATGTGGTCGTCATCACTGGTAAAGAGTAAGTCTGCATGCAGTTTATTTAAGTCACAGTCGGGGTAAATAGGGGATGATAAATCAGTAATGTGTAATAATTGCTTCAGTCAAATTATGTCCAATATTTACATATTTTAGTTGTTATATTGACATATTATTGGTGGTGCATGGATTAATTTTATAATTGAAAGCCAACTGGCATATCAACACATACTTGGTAATTCTTTCAAGTTTTTCATAAGAGAGAGTACACATAGTGGCAAAAACTGAAAATATCTAAAAAAGGTATTTACAATCAATGTTTTTGATAAGACAATGTAAAGTGTCAAAGTTTATGCTGTTTTATGCAAGGAATAAAAGGATGAAGTTATTCTCAAATGTAATATCAGTAAAGTTTGTAGATTAACTCATTTACCCATGAAATATATATCATAATGAACTATTCCAACCTTTGAATTGGAAGAGCTCAAATGTGTCTTCAGGGGTGAATGAATTAAAGGGGATAATGAACTTTCTGTATTAGATATAAATTCTAATCAAACTCCACAAGTTAAAAATCTTCTATAAAAAGATTCAACAATTTTGAAATAAACTGACATAGAACCAGGAAATAACTTTGAATAGTATTTACTAAAGTAATTAATAGTAGTGCGGTTAGTGCAACTGATCACGAGTTTGAAATTGTCATTTACTCATTCACCCCTGAAATTTCATAATGAACTATTCCAACTTTTGAATTGGAAGAGTTCAAATGTGTATTTAGGGGTAAATGAGTTAATTTTACAGAAATTTGGGAGTTCTGTAATAGGATATTCCAGACATTGATTGCAAAATACAGAGATGAAATGTAGAGAATACCTTGAACCAAGGACTGTTTATTTGTATCACTGCAGAATGTGAACCACACACACACACACACACACACACTATAATTACATGTACTCTTAGTTCTGTTTGACAATCCTATGACATTTCGAACAAGAATTCCTACAAAAAACACCAGAGAGTACAATGGCTGGTGACTGTAGGGTTAGATAACCCTATCTCAGGTGTGCAGTAAACCCGATCCATCTTCATTTGATGTAAACAGCCGTCTTGTAGGGCGGTTTGATCCCATCACACCTACATTGACCTCCAGACGGATATTTAAACACCCACTTTCTTGCAGGATTGGTAATTGCGCTTGTTCATTTACGAAATTGGTATAAAATGATCTTGATTAGTTCAACAGAGAATAATCTAATTACTCAGCCAAAAGGCTTGTGAATACAGCGGAAGATTGTAATTGTGTCAGTATAAATTCAAGTTGGATATATTTTTCAATAGCAGGGAATTATTTCAAGACAAAAATCATTTTGAAGAGACACATTACCAGTGAACAAGCTGCCTTGTAATCCTGTTACCTGGACTGGGGAATGCAAGGTTATTCTTTTGTTTTGGTGCAGCTTCATCATATTACAATACACCTTTAAGGCCTATAGACACATTTAGATATTATCTATAGACTTAATCTCATAGCATGTTTCATTTACTTTAAATTCAAGGAAAACATAGAGTGTGGGGATATCTTTTTTTTTGTTTTTACTATAGATCCTGGTTTTTAAAAAAATAAAACAAACTTATGTGTTAAAATTTATTTTAAGTAATGTCAAATCTCACACTGGTTAAAATGCAAGTACAGCCTCTTAAATAAAAAAAGCTTAATTTATTTTAAGCATAATTAATTGTTACTAAAGACTTTAAATAGCCATTCATGATTTTTTATTTTACAGATTTTAGAGTATTTATATATATTATAAATACATTTTTGAATTTCATCTCCTTGTGTGTACTTGTTTATTGACTTTACTTATCTGATTCATCCCTGTTTGTGTAATTGCAGGTTTGGCCAGGTAATATGATGGAAGAGCAGGATGACCGTAAATTAAACGCAGAGCTGATGCTGATTAGCCAAGATGAAGATGATGCCGCGTGTCCTCCTGTTGCTGTTTACATTATCAGCCATGACCATGGTGTTCATCGCCAAGTGTGGCCTGTACATAGACTCGCAGGTGGACCCACGGGATGGTTCTCAGCAACAGACACTCAAAACACGCGAACTCTTCAGTGCCGTCATCGAGGAAAATGAAAAACGTCATCAGGCCAAAGTTGAAGAACTTGAGGCTAAAATACAGGCTTTAAAATCCTCCCTTGTAGAAGAGAGATGGCAAAATCAAAACTTGACAAAACGGGTGAATCTTCTTGAGGGGGAAAATGATACAGTTAGAAATATATCATTTGCTACTGCCAATGGTACAAGTCTTGCTAATTTTATGAAGCAGAATTTACAAACGGCAGAGATATTGCATGGCGTAGAGATGAAATCGGAATATGAAGTGTTCTCTTTTAATAGATTTACGATAAATCGTATATTTCTGGTGGATCCTGGGTTGGGGAAGCGTGTTGTGGAAAAACCTATCGGTTTTAAGAAAAAAGATCTCCTGGAGGTGATATCTTTTGGTGTTTCAGCATTAAATAAGGAGAAGAGTCCAACTGCTCTTAGGCAGTATACAGCTAGTGATTTCATTGAGGGGGTGTTTCGGACAGAGCCAACGACCGGTACACATTATGAGTTGTTTTACAGAAATATTGACACTTCTGGGAGTGGTCAGTACTCTAAAGTGATAGTGATGCGACCATTTGGACCATTGATGCCTGTCAAATCTGATAGAATCAGCACACGCCAGAGCTGGATAAACATGATTCTGCCTCTAAAGGGCAGGATCGACTCCTTTAAACTCTTCATGCAGCACTTCACAGAGACGTGCATCACGAAGGATGAGAAAGTCTTCCTAACCGTCGTTTACTTTGGTCAGGAAGGCCTAGAACAAGTCCAAAAGATTTTAAAGGCCACCATGGAACAATATGATTTTAAGAACATAAAAGTTGTGACTTTGGATGAGAAGTTTTCCCGCGGACGTGGACTTCAAATTGGTGCGCTAGACTGGAAAGGCGGAGATGTAGTGCTGTTTATGTGTGATGTCGACATTGTGTTCACAGTTGATTTCCTAGAACGATGTCGGCTTAACACGGAGCGGAGAAAACGGGTTTATTACCCCATTGTGTTCAGTTTATATAATCCACATGTTGTATACTCGCTTCACGACCAAATTATCCCCCCTGAGAAGGACCAGCTTATGATATCAAAACAGACTGGATTCTGGCGCGACTTTGGGTACGGAATGACTTGTCAATTCCGATCTGACTTCATGAAGATAAAAGGTTTTGACGAACATATTACGGGTTGGGGAGGTGAGGACGTAGCCCTTTATAAGAAGTATGTACGTAGCGATTATATTGTGATTCGAGCCACAGATCCGGGAATATTTCACCTGTGGCATGAAAAGGTTTGTGATCCAAATCTTAGCTCTGACCAATATCAAGGCTGCATTCGCTCGAAGGCCCTGAACGAAGCGTCTCATGCACAACTTGGGCTGTTGGCCTTTAAGGATGAGGTGAACATCCACCGGGGCTATAAACGAAGGATGGGAGAACGGGTTTCCTCATATCTGTCAAAACAAAGATAATGTCTATCAATCATTATGCTTAAGAATAATTCATCATGAAAAAATTGTCTCACTATTTAAAAAAGGGGAATATTTTTGTATTTCCCTGATACTTAGAATCCAGTTTGCGGATCAAGTTTCTTTTGTCAGTTTTTATACATGTCAGGTTCTATCAAAGAATTTACCAATATTACTTAGTGATGTATAAATTTTGTATTTGCTTTGAGTTTAGAAATCAAATTTTGTCATCAGAATATTTTTTATTTGTGAAAATTCAAAATCAAATTTATTCAAATTTTAAATGACCTTTTTAAGTTTTTACATGTTTTTTTTTCATTTGCATATGTTAATAAGAGGCAGCTGGATATGTAATGGTACAATATGTTTTGTTTTGAGGATTTCCTAATTGATATTACTGTTCATGAAGAGGTGGAAATTCCTCTCTGCCTCTATCAAATCATTATTATACATTTAATAGCTTTTGGTCCTGCATGTTTAACCTCACAATTTGATAATAATTGTATGGTTAAATTTGTTGAATTTGTTCATAAATATGTGCTTAAGGATACATTCTTACTGTAGAACTTTGTTAGTCTGAACGTATTGTGGATTTCAACATTTTCTCTTTTCATGATCCCATTAATTTTATGAAAAGTTGGTTCAAATATTCAAATACTTTGGGATCAAGAATGGATCTTTTTTTATTATTACGTGTCACAAAATGATCCTAACTGACTAATTTTGTAAAAAAAAAAAAAAAAAAAAGCCAAAAAGGATAAAACATCGTATTTTCCCTGGGGATGCCATAAAGGCACTCATTACATATCAAAAGGAGTATTTGGTGTTTCCATAACATCATTATACTACAATAAAACAGACTTTACTTACTGTTAGTTGATTTCCTACAGAAAAGTTATACACAGAGTCATGAAAGTGAGAAAATTTCTGCATTGTTAATGTTAGACTTACAAAGTTTCTATAATATGTACAAATGTACCTGGTATATGTAAAACCTTGACCTCATTCACCCCTGCAGACACATTTGAACTCTTCCAAGTCGAAGGTTGGAAGACTTCATAATGATATTTCAGGGGTGGATAAGTTATTTATCAGCAGTACTAAGATGAATAGCATTAGAATCAAAATGTTTCTTTATTTTGACATTACTCATTTGTGATAAATGTGTAAGTGCTATTGTAATGGTGTTTGATTGGCTGCTTTTTGACCAATCAGAATCAAGTTTAAACTTTCATTTGTAATATTCATTTGTCATAAATTGCCATGTATACAAATGAAGTCCCCGATCAAATGATATTTATGGAAATTTAAACATTCCATGTCATTTCTGTAATGTCAGCTAAACAATACAATTCCTTTGCAATTGATCAATCATCAATGACTCCACGAACAATTAACCAATCAGCAATTACTTAACGAATAACTGACCAATCAGCACAGACTTCACAATTAACAAAGCCATTAAAATGTTTGATGTTTCATTGACATTTGATTTATTATTGGAACTGTTGTGCTTGACCTCCATATAATGACCACCTCTATATGATGACACTTAATTATCAGATCCTGTCAACAGAGACCACCTGTGTATTGTGTCACTTTAATGTCAGAACCTGTTTACAGTGACCACAGGTGTATGATGTCAGCATGACAACTTACTGTTGGATCCTGTCTACAGTCCTGTGTATGATGACCCTATACACTTTATTTGTTAATCTGTCTATTGTGACAAACCTGTGATATCTTTATTGTTAGATCCTGTCTATAGCGACCATTTATAATTGTTTATCCTACAATTTGGAACCTGTCTAATGTGAATCCCTTATATTAATGGAACATGTATTTGCCAAACTTTTCACACAGATTTTTACAATTCATTTTCATGTGATTGAAATTTGAGCCGAATTCAATTTCATAATTTAATATTTTATTATATATTTCAGATACAATAATCAGAAACAAGTTTGTTTAATTCTTGCTGCTTTTAGACTATGTTTTCTGTAGACCTTTGTTCTACAGGAGATGGTGGTAGCTATGGACAGGTCTTCAATAACATAGAGACATTCTATACATTGTATTAATTCACATTTCATGTGCACCTGTTCATTTGAATTCAGTTCAGGGGACTGGTGTACATGTTCATATGCACTAGATGGTAAGTACTAATTCATCAATTCTACTGCACATATTCAAGTTCATCCATGCTAGTTCAGTGATACTAGTTTACATGTACTAGTTTATTCTTACTAGTTCATGTGTACTTGTTCTTATGTATGAATTGATCTACAGGTGCTAGTTGAGGACAACAAGTTCATGTGTACAAGGCTTAATGTACTAGTTCATCACTTTCATTATATCAATCGTTATTTAAATATACAAATTCATCAGTGTCGCCATTTGATAGTATAAGTTCATCCATGCTAGTTCAGGTATACTGTCTGTGTCATCTGACTTAATTCATTGTTTCTAGTTCACATGTTCAGGTTCATCTGTATCTGTTAATGGACATGCATGCCAAGCATAAGCAATTTATAACTGCAGAACAAGTTTGATTTGTTTACAGTTTGTGCGTCCAAATTAGCATTAGTATGAGAGTGTACACATGTCTGAGAGAAGATGAGATGAGTGAAGGAATGAAAGAGAGAAAGAGAGAGAAATGTGACTGTAGCTACATGTACATGATTGAAAATAGAATTGAAAGTGGATATAAATCAATGTTTTTACAATGTAAGCATTTTCGATAATATTTGACGAGAGCAATTTTGATGTTTGTTATTTTAGAAAAAAATAAAATAAAATAAAAGTAGAATGAAAAGTTGTTTCATCTTATTTGTAGAATTATTATTCTTAATGTTGTTTACAAAGGAACTTATTATTGATCATGCGCACGTGGTTCTTCTGTCAAAATTGATATTGACCTTTGATCAAGAGACCTCAAAAGTAACCACAAGCATCATTACATCCATAAGCACATGCAGAATGAAAACAGTGACATTGACCAGTGGTTTGATATCAAATATGATAGATGGAAATGCATTACCTACCACCACATAAGCAGGAAAAGGGAAAAATATATGGATTTACAAAAAGATGTTCATTTTTTTCAGAATTTGTTTTATTAAAATAGAACAATAAGAAGGAAAATGAGTGGGGGTGGAGGTATTGGACAGGGGGCTTTTGCTGTGTTGTTAGTTATATAAAACTGATCTATAATCTAATAATATATAAACAAAGAAAAAATTGAAAACAGGATCCATAATTTATAGTTATGAATTGAATTATGTTTTTCTTTAGATTTTGAATTGTTATGACAGAAAGATAAGTGAATTGCAAGACTGTTCTTATTAAGTCATAGGGCATCAAGTGCTGTGAACAGACTTTTCTTCATAACATAATTAAAACCGATTTGTCTGTTAGCTGGCTTATTACTTTGACAAGGTCAGCAGGTGTATACCTGGTTCCATCCCTCAGGATGCACTGGCTTAGCTGGGTCAGCTTTTATGTGGAAAACTAATCTCTTCATTTGAATAAAAAGTGCTAATTAAGTATTTTTCACCCATAAACTCCATATGGTTGCAATTAGTGAGACTGTGGATAGGAGAGAGACTGTGGATAGGAGAGGGCATCAACTTCAGAAGTGATGAAAGGGTGGGGGAGGATTGGGGTTCCTGATAAGGGGAGTGGGAGGCTCTGAAATGGTCTCCGTATGGGAAGGAAGGGACAGAAATTCTAGGCTTGGAATTTAGAGGTAATAGATTTCTTAAAATCCATTCATGTGTATGATCAATAATATTCATTTTCACTAGATTATGAATATCATCTGCTAAAGAGGAAATTAATCATGATGTGGGTGTGGGTGCATTGAGTTTATTTCAAGGCTATAGAAAACCAGATAAATAATGTGGAAAGCAAATGACTCCGGGATGCTTATGTAACCGCTGTTAACCAAGTTTGAGCAATTAAGTACAGTTCTGTATCCTTGTTGGACTAAATCGACATTATTGAACCAACAGTTTCAAAGTCTTGTACGCCGGTTTGTTTTGACCAGGAAACTTTCGTGTATAATATTCGAATTTTTTGAACTGTATTTCTTTTTTGTAATGAATTGATTTTGTTGCTCAATTACTTTCCAAACCCATACTAAATACAAGGATTGTAAAAAAAAAATAAAAAAATCTTTCATTTTAATTGATCAAACGCCTGTCCAAATTCAGTAAACGTTATTGATTGTAGTTTATGGCAGGGTGCTTGGGATTCATGGAAGCTGGGAAGCTAGACAGTTACATGTTGTAAAAACGCCTTACATGTTGTGATCATGCAACAACTTTAGGATGTAGTCCAAATCTTAAATGTCAATAAATACACATTTCTTCTGAAAGCAAGTTAAAATGTGGTGGAAATAATGTTTAATAATAAGTAAGTGTACTTGTATGCAAGACAATCATTCAGATTTGGAATTAAGTCTTATTGTTTTCATAATCTAGGGGCATGACCATCTTTTTTTAATCTTCAGTTGCTTTAAAATGTCACATAGTCAATATGAAATATATGTATTTCGTGACATAAAACCTGGGTTCACGGTAGGTGATATTAAGAACATCATGTCAGTACTTGGGAATGGATATCATCACAAGATTACAATTTCAGTTCTACTGATTGGGATGGGGACGAACTTCATCATCTTTCATTAATGACGGAAGAAGAGAATGTTGGGACCTAAAACATTACCTGAAATTAGATCACCCCCTAACAGAGGATTCTTGGCCGACCTGACAATCACTTCCAAGACACGGGCGCACTGGATTCTACCTGCAGTGTTTTGGAAGAAATGCATTCAAAACAAATCAAGAAAATCCCATATCTAAAACAAACCCAGAAAATCCCAATCTCTGCTCACAACTCACTATCCAAAACGAAGACATGCAAACTGGGAAACACTCTGATGGCACATCTGGGACAATCGTTCACTGCCTTCTTCAATAATATCACTACAATCAAGGGATTGTAAGAGAAGATAGGGAAAAACTAGGTTGCCAGGGAATTTCAAGCCGTTGGTGTACCAATATATATACCTCAGATCTTGTAAGAAGTGATCAAAAGAACGATAAAGGCTGTTGAAAGAAATATAGTAGCATCACTCCGTAGATGACTATCTGAGATACCACGAAGGTTTGTGACAAGTGTCGGTCTGTACAGCAAGTCAGCCTTTGTTCCCAATATCCTTTGTCGAAGAACTTAAGCTGGCTGAAGAAATAATAGTT